CCTCTTCTACTGGTAGCGTCCCGTCTAAGATATTTTAAAACTTAAATATTTTAATTGCATTTACAGTATGTACTCTTCTAACCCTGCCTATCTTAGTACTAATTTTTACTCCTCGGTAGTTACCCATGTAGCAATTCCCGGGTACTCTTGCTTTCTATGAGCACCCCTCTACCTAAACATCTTAAAGCATCAAAGTATGTGTGAGTCTGGCAAGTATATCCTAGATTGTTCACTATGATATATATGCATGAAAACGAAGGCGGAAAGAACTAAATACTATAAGTAATTCGATAGCTGTGTATCCTAGAAAGGCATCCCAGTTTTCCCAAAAATCAGTCTCATTTACCTCAAGTATGCAAAAGAAATGGGGAGTTGGAGGTCAAAAAAATTCCAGAGAAAGCAAAGTATGTATGGACATGTGGCCTGTGCACATATCCATACATGGTTTTGTGTATATACGTAAGGCTGTTTTTGAAAGTGTGCGTGTACACATGTATACTAACATATACACAAATTAAGGAAAAAAACACTCGGGATCAATGCATTAATTAGTAATTTTTTAAAAAAAAAGGAAGATCATGGAATTTCGTGAACTCGACGCGGTGACCCTGACGACACCAGGTGCCGACCTCACTGTCAGGATACCAGTCTTCCTGGTTAATAAAGCTTTTTAAAACCCTTGTATATTCCACCCCTGACGGGTAGTGGCCATTAGATATGTTAAATGACCCCAGCTGCCACCTCCCTGTCAGTTGGTTACCAGTAGGTAGGTAAAATGACATCAGTTGCCGAGCTCCATGTCAGGTGGTTACCAGTAGGTAGGTTTCATGACAACAGCTGCCGACCTCCGTCAGGTGGTTACCATTTGATAGGCTCATGAAAACCAGCTGCCGACCTCCCTGTCAGGTGGTTACCAGTAGGTAGGTTCACGACACCAGCTCCGACCCCCCCTACAGTGGTTACCATAGGTAGGTTTTGAAACCAGCTGCCGACCTCCCTGTCAGTTGGTTACCATAGAAGGAACTACGGTGGATAAATAACTAATTTTTGAAGGCTAACTACTTACGCATTTGAGTTCAATTTTAGGTTTGATCTGCGGAAGCGCAACCCTCCTCCCCCCACGAAAACGCAAATTAGGGTATAAAAACATGTGTAAGCCCATTCCTTATTTTTGTTCTGTGGTCACTCCAAATTCCCCCCTGGAAAAAAAATAATGAGGCCTTTTTTCCCACGCTTAAAAACTGTTAATTTAGATTTAACTGAGATTATATCTTTGCTGTTTCTTTGTTTCATTGATGGTATGTCATTCTCGTAATGACGCTGAGCTTCTCTCCTTATGTATGCATATTCATTTCGGACTCTTCGGCTCAACTCCATGTTTTCCTGGTCCTTTGCCTTCCCTACCTTTTCCATACTCTAGCACACGTGTCTTTGGCCTGTGTGTGTGTGTGTGTGTACTCACCTAATTGTACTCACCTAATTGTGGTTGCAGGGGTCGAGACTTAGCTCCTGGCCCCGCCTCTTCACTGATCGCTACTAGATCCTCTCTCTCTCTGCTTCCTGAGCCTTGTCATACCTCTTCTTAAAACTATGTATGGTTCCTGCCTCTACTACTTCACTTGCTAGGCTATTCCACTTGCTGACAACTCTATGACGAAGAAATACTTCCTAACGTCCCTGTGACTCGTCTGAGTCTTCAGCTTCCAGTTGTGACCCCTTGTCCCTGTGTCCCCTCCTGGAACATCCTATCTCTGTCCACCTTGTCTATTCCCCCGCAGTATCTGTATGTCGTTAAACATGTCTCCCCTGACCCTTCTGTCCTCCAGTGTCGTCAGTCCGATTTCCCTTAACCTTTTCCTCGTACGACATTCCCTTGAGCTCTGGGACTAGCCTTGATGCAAACCTTTGTACTTTTTCTAACTTTTTGACGTGCTTGACCAGGTGTGGGTTCCAGACTGGTGCTGCATACTCCAGTATGGCCTAACATACACAGTGTACAGTGTCTTGAAACCCATTCCTTATTAAGGTATCGGGAAAAACTATTCTCAGGTTTGCCAGGCGCCCGTATGCTGCAGCGGTTATTTGGTTGATGTGTGCCTCCGGTGATGTGCTCGGTGTTATGGTCACCCCAAGGTCTTTCTCCCTGAGTGAGGTCTGTAGTCTTTTTTCCACCCAGCCTATACTCTGTCTTTCGGTCTTCTTTGCCCCTCCCCAATCTTCATGACTTTTGCATTTGGCTGGGTTGAATTCGAGAAGCCAGTTACTGGACCACATGTATCTCCAGGTCTCTTTGCAGTCCTGCCTCATCTCGTCCGATTAATTCTTTTCATCAACTTCACGTCATCTGCGAACAGGGAAAACTTCAGAGTCTATTCCTTCCATCATGTCCCTTCACATATATCAAAAATAGCACGGGTCCTAGAACTGACCCCTGTGGGGACCCCGCTCGTAACAGGCCCCAAATGTGATACCTCTTCACGTACCATGACTTTGTTGCCCGCCTCCTTTTCAGGGATTCCCTTATCCATTGCAGTGCCCTTCCTTTTACGTGTGCCTGATCCTCCAGCTTCTGCGCTAATCTCTTGTGGGGAACTGTGTCCCAAAAGGCCTTCCTGCAGTCTAGGAAAACGCAATCTACCCACCCCTCTCGTGTCTTACTTCTGTTACCTTGTCATAAAACTCCAGGAGGTTTGTGATACAAGATTTGCCTTCCATGAACCCATGCTGGTTTTCATTTATAATCTTGTTCCTTTCCAGGTGTTCGACCACTCTCCTCCTGATAATCTTCTCCATGACTTTGCACACAATACATGTCAGAGACACAGGTCTGTAGTTTAGTGCCTCGTTTCTGTTTCCTTTCTTAAATATGGGACTACATTAGCTGTCTTCCATTTCTCAGGTAGTTGCCCAGTTTCAAGGGATGTGTTGAAGATTGCGGTTAGAGGCACACACAGCATCTCTACTCCTTCTCTAAGGACCCATGGGGAGATGTCCGGTCCCATCGCATTTGAGGTGTCAAGGTCACTTAAGAGCTTCTTCACCTCCTCCTCAGTTGTTTGTATGTCATCCAACACTTGTTGGTATATTCCCTCTTGATGTTCCCTTCTGTGCTGTCTTCCCACAGCCCTTCCTGTCTCTACTGTAAAAACTTCCTTAAATCTCCTGTTCAGCTCCTCACATAACTCCTGATCATTTTTTTGCGAGTTCTCCACCTTCTGTCCTTAATCTGATCACCTGGTCTTTGACTGTTGTCTTCCTCCTGTTGTGGCTATACAACAGTTTCGGGTCAGTCTTGATTCTCGATGCTATGTCATTTTCATACTGTCGCTGGGCCTCCCTCCTTACCTGTGCGTACTCATTCCTGGCTCTGCGACTGATCTCCCTATTTTCGTGTGTTCTCTGCCTTCTGTACTTTTTCCATTCTCTATTGCACTTTGTTTTTGCCTCCTTACACCGTCGGGTAAACCAGGGGCTCGTTCTGGTCTTCACGTTGTTACTGTTGCCCTTGGGAATGAACCTTTCCACTGCCTCCTTGCATTTTGTTGCTACATATTCCATCATTTCATTTACTGGCTTTCCTGCCATTCTCTGTCCCACTGGACCTCCCGCAGGAAGTTCTTCAACCCTATGTAGTCCCCTCTTTTATAGTCGGGCTTTTCCCATTCTACTCCTGTTATTCTCTCCACTTGCAGCTCTACTATGTATTCAAAGCACAGAACCGCATGGTCGCTAGCTCCTAGGGGACTCTCATACTTGATGTCCTCAATGTCTGAGCTGCCCAGGGTGAACACAAGATCCAATCTTGCTGGTTCATCCTCCCCTCTCACTCTGGTAGTGTCCTTAACATGTTGGTGCATGAGGTTTTCCAGCACCACGTCCAACATCCTGGCTCTCCATGTTTGTGTGTGTGTGTGTGTGTGTTTCTATGTGTACACGTCTAATTGTACTCGCCTATTTGTGGCTGCAGGGGTTGATTCATAGCTCCTGGCCCTGCCTCTTCACTTATCACTACTAGGTCCTCTCTCTCCCTGTTCCATGTGCTTTATCAAACCTTGTCTTAAAACTATGTATGGTTTCTGCCTCCACTACGTCACTCTCCACACTATTCCAATTACTGACAACTCTCTGACTAAAGAAATACTTCCTAACATCGCTTTGATTCATCCGAGTCTTCCACTTCTAGCTGTGATCCCTTGTTGCTGAGTCACATCTCTAAAACATTCTGTTCCTGTCTACCTTACCAATTCATCTAAGTATTTTATATGTTATTATGTTCTTCCCCTATCCCTCCTGTCCTCCAGTGTTGTCAAGTTGAGTTCCATTAACCTTTCCTAGTAGGACAAACCCCTCAGCTCCAGGGCTAGCCTTGCTACAAACCTTTGCACATTTTCTAATTTCTTTGTGTTTGGCCAGGTATAGGTTCCAAAATGGCGCTGCGTACTCCAACACGGGCCTGACGTACACGATATACAGAGCCGTGAAGCTCGATTTCGTTGACTTTTTTTTACCAGAGACTTTAGGCATATTGAACCTCATGTGGTTAAAGTTGCATCAAGATCGTCCAATTAATAAAGTTATAAAAAATAAAAATGTGAAAAATTGGACATGGCAACACTTGTAGCAAAAAAAAATCAATATTGGCAATCTCGAAATCATTGGTGATAATCACAAATGATAAAGTAATGCCAAATTGACCATCTAACATTTTTAAATAATGTAATAACATGTTTTATGGTACCCCAAAAAAATATTATTATGTCTTGACTTGATTTTAATTTTTTTTTTTGCACTTTACATCAATTTATGCAAAATTGAAGGTATTATTACCCAAGACAGCTCCATTACAAAGTCAAACAGGGTCCCCTGAATAACTTTTGTAAAATTCAGAATGATCGGTTCATAAATAATGGTTTTACCTCAGAAAAATACAAATAAATGCACTTTTGAAAAAAATCAACAAATACATTGAACATTACTATACAGTGGGTAAAAATACTCAGTGCCTTTATACGTTTATTGAGAGTAGAACTGGTTATATAGACATTATTCCTGAAGTTCCATGAAGATCCCTTTATCCTGAAGTTCTCTGGTGGCCGGCCAATCATAAAAATCCATCCCAATCAATCTGAAAAGAAAGAAATGAATTCTCAAAATCCTATTCCCAGTGATTATTCCCAGTGATTATGTACAGATACATGTAATTGCACCCATATATGATATTTATACACATAACAATATAAAAATATACCAAAAAAACACTAATAATTACGTACCTATGACTGGATATTGGTGGACACGATTATCTAATGTCCTCCAGGCTCGTAGGACGTGTCCACCTCCCTTTTCCTCTTCTTTCCACCTCGGTTCCGTTTTTCCTTCATCTGCTTCTCCATTAATTCAAGTTGTGCTTGAGTCACTGCTGAACGTCTGTAGCCCAGTGCTGTGTCCAGACAGCTCCTCACATATCCACTATTGTAGTCAGCAACAGCATGGCTGACTGCGAAATCAGCATGCCTCTTAGTTTGATATTTGGCTTTATTGCTGTAAGACCATATGCGGTGATGCAGACTTTCATTAGAGTTTTGCGTTCTGCCTTTTATACAACGCTGCATCATTTCATCTGATGTTAGGTCTTTGTAGACATTATGCACCTCCATGTATGCAGGTTCAAGTTGGAAGTGCACTTTCATCTTGGTGTGAGACGGTGGAGGAAGGTCTGCTGCTGCTGCTTTCTGGTAGAAACACCAGGATTTATCACCTGTTGGGCAAAGGTGATGCTCCTATATTTTGTCTTCCTTGTTTCTGAACATGAAATATCCAATAGTTCAGTAGCAGTGAACAAGGACAGGTCTTGAGAGGAGGGTGGTGGTACTAGCATCGTGGCGGCGTCACCACCCACAGCAGCTGTGCTCTCTTTGCTTGTTTAGCCCTTATCATTGCTTCTATGTTCCTTCTCCTCTTCCTGCTAATGTTATAGGCAAACTGTTTCTTCTTTGCAGGCATTGTGTACCAAAAATGTATACAATGAAAGGCGAAAAGTAACGTCCCAAGGGTAGTCAGCTGTCAGACAAAGTGACACACCCCCTCTCTCTTCCGACTTCCAGTCGGCACTGACTTGAGATGGTGTGAGCAGTTCCTTCTCACAGCTAACCTGATGGTTGCCAGTTACTATTTAGAAGATCTAGCTCAAAAATACACAAAAAAAAGGAAAAAAATACCTGTGATACTGTTTTATGAAGCGAGTCGCGCTGGTGCACGTGGTATTGTTATGACGTTAGCTGGGCCGCGCTCATGACGTAGTTACCATTGTTATAATTACGACAGCTTTTTATGTAATTATCGTACAGAGACGAGACGCACACCAAAATGTTGCCAGATCTTTGCTCTATTTTTCGGTAAGATTAACTCATTTTTCATATTTTTCGATTTTTTGGTGTATCTAGGCTCAGACTTGGCGGTCTCCCCCCCCCTCCTTACTTGGATGTCTGCAGCAGTTATTTGGTCTATGGGCACCTCAGGAGATGTGCTCGGTATGATGTTCTTCCTAAGATCCTTTTACTTATACAATTTTTCAGCCTCTGGCCTCTTTGTGTGTGTGTGTGTGTGTGTGTGTGTGTGTGTGTGTGAGAGAGAGAGAGAGTGAGTGAGTTCATAAAATTGGTTCTATAGTTAATGCTCCTACGTGTTCCCTCTTCTACTGGTAGCGTCCCGTCTAAGATAGTTACACTTAAATAGTTAATTGCATTTACAGTATGTACTCTTCTAACCCTGCCTATCTTAGTACTAATTTTTACTTCCTAGGTAGTTACCCATGTAGCAATTGCCGGTACTCTTGCTTTCTATGAGCAGCCTCTACCTAAACATTTTAAGCAAAGTATGTGTGAGTCTGGCAAGTATGTCTAGATTGTTCACTCTGATATATATGCATGAAAACGAAGGCGTAAAGAACTAAAAGCTATAAGTAATTCAATAGCTGTGCTATCCTAGAAAGGCATCCCAGTTTTCCACAAAATCAGTCTCATTTACCTCAATGTATGCAAAAGAAATAGGAGTTGGAGGTCACAAAATTCCAGAGAAGCAAAGTATGTATGGACATGTGCCTGTGCACATATCCATATATGGTTTTGTGTATTTACGTAAGGCTGTTTTTGAAAGTGTGCGTGTACACATGTATACTAACATATACACAAATTATGGAAAAAAGCACTCGGAATCAATGCATTAATTAGTAATTTCTGTAGAAAAGGAAGATCATATTATTATTATAATCAAAAAGAAGCACTAAGCCACAAGGGCAGGAAGATCATAGACTATCGTGAACTCGACGCGGTGACCCTGACGACACCAGCTGCCGACCTCACTGTCAAGATACCAGTCTTCCTGGTTAATAAAGCTTTTTAAAACCCTTACATATTCCACTCTGTCAGGTAGTGGCCATTAGATATGTTCATGACACCAGATGCCGACCTCCCTGTCAGGTGGTTACCAGTAGGTAGGTTCATGACATCAGCTGCCGACCTCCGTCAGGTGGTTACCAGTATATAGGCTCATGACACCAGCTGCCGACCTCCCTGTCAGGTGGTTACCAGTAGGTAGATTCACGACACCAGCTGCCGACCTCCTTATCAGGTGGTTACCAGTAGGTAGGTTTATGAAACCAGCTGCCGACTTCCCTGTCAGTTGGTTACCAGCAGAAGGAACTACGGTGGATAAATAACTAACTTTTGAAGGCTAACTTCTTGCATATTTTGAGTTCAATTTCAAGTTTTGATCTGCGGAGAGCGCACCCCCCTCCCCCCATGAAAATGCAAATTAGGGCATAAAAACATGTGTAAGCCCATTCCTTATTTTTGCTCTGTGGTCGCTCATATTCCCCCTTGAAAGAAAATAATGAGGCCTTTTTCTCCGCTTAAAAACTGCTAATATAGATTTAATTGAGATTATATCTTTGCTGTTTCCTTGTGTTTCATAGTGATAACTATCACGTGGGAATTTCCCATTGGCTGGTCTGTCCCACAGAGAAAATAGAAGTTAGGAGGACATCTTTACCAAGACAAAAAATTGGTATCTAGCCCCTAGGCAATCTACCAAACAGGCTCCAGGTGTTAATCACAATTTAAATATTTCTACAGGACATTAAGAATCAAGACTGCAGACAGCCCAGACAACCAGAGTTTAACTTATGGCCTGGTGGCCACACGGCTTCACACAGCGAGTATCTGGTTTCGATTCCCGGCCAGAGTAGAAACATCGGACGTGTTTCTTTACACCGGTTGTCTATGTTTACCCATCAGTAAAATGCATACCTTGGAGTTAGTCGACTGGTGTGTGTCACATCCTGGGATAAAACTGACCTAATTTGCCAGAAATGCTCTGCATAAAAAGGGGCTGTCTAAAGTAATATGTCATTGATGTCAGGTAGATCCGTACACTTTGTACATGTACTTGTAGTAAATAAAGATATATTATTATTTAGAATCTTGATCCCAGATAATTATCCGACACTAGATCCTAGATAGGCTCATCTGTAATGTGTTTGCCTAACTGCCATTCTAGCAGGGCAAAACTAATGAGGTAGAACAAAGAAGTGTAGAGGTATTTTATCATTAATAAAGGTCATCCTGAATATAATTAGTGTGATAAAAAAAACCGGTCTTTCATGAGAACCATCTGTGAATAAAATGAAAGAAGTGTCACAAGGTGACAGAAAAACAATGTGGGTCACACTCTAGAAAACCTTTGTGTACATGCAACTTGTCAAAGTCCGTCAACTCACATACGAAATATATTATGTAATAAGGCAAATGATTTATATATACAAATTTTACGAGTCCACACTAAGTCTACACAAGACAATGTGCAAAGTTATTAGGCACGCAGAGACGAAAGACCAATAGTTCAACGTACAAGTTAGTGTCTTTGTTGTATATAAACGAGTAAACAGATGAATATCCAACCCCTTCCTTGCTTTTGTTTGTTTGTTTTTGGTTTACACGCTCCTGATTGTTTTTTTTTTATTTTACCCAGATCTTCACGATCGAGTTGTCAAGGTGAGTGAGTTCACGCTCCAGTTGTCTGCGTGTATGAGCTGTGTGTATGACATCTTGTGACTCTTGCCAGGTGAGTGCCTTCATACCTTCAGCAGTGTTTTATTTTGGTATATAAAGGAGTAAACAGCTGAATATCCAACCAGTCTGAAGACTGCTCTATGAACGAGTGTGTCAGGAAAGCCTGCTCGTTAAGAAACGGTGTATATATTAATAGAGATAATAATGTGATTTCAGTGCTTAGTAATGCATTTTAAGAAGGTTGTCTCATTGTCACAGCTATCAGGTAATGTCAGAGGAGAAAACAGTACTATACCTAGATTGTATCTGGAGGGTGTTCCAGGGGCCCAGTTCTTGACCAGGGCTCCGGTGAATCAGGACATGATCAACCAGGCTGGTACTGCTGGCCATACGTAGCCTAACGTACACTACAAGTAGTGTACCTCTACCAATAGAGAGACTGCCAGTAGTGATACTACCCATGGACACAATACCAGAAAAAACACTACCAGTTGTGACACTGCCAGTAGTAACACCACCAGTTGTGACGCTACCTGTAGTAACACCACCAGTTGTAACACCACCAGTAGTAACACCACCAGTAGTAACACCACCAGTAGTAACACCACCAGTAGTAACACCACCAGTAGTAACACCAGTAGTAACACTACCAGCAGTAACACTACTAGTAGTAACACTACCAGTTGTGACACTACCAGTAGTGACATTCTACTAGAAGTGACGCTATTAGTAGTGACGCTATTAGTAGTGACACTACCAGTAATGACGCTACCAGTAGTGACGTTCTACTAGAAGTGACGTTCGACTAGAAGTGACACTATTGTAGTGACACCATCAGTAGTGACGCTACCACTACTGACACTACAAGTAGCAACACTCGGACATTTTTTTCCAATATTGTCCTAACGCTTCGTAACTTATTACAATTTGCCTTATCAGTTATATTCCAGCAGCTGTCATTCCACCCATAGTTGTTCCTCTCACAGAAGTTTCCCAGTATTGATAGTTAAGGTTTGAAGGTTGCTTTTCACAGGTACTTGCCCTTCCATGGGTAGTTGTCTTTGCAATTGCTGTTACCCAGTCATTAGTAGTTATCCTTCTAGTAGTTATTCTTGAACGATAACTCATCCTTTCGCAAGAAGTTATCCTTCCTCTAGCAATGATATTTTCTTCCAGTAGTTACATAAGAACATAAGAAAGGAGGAACACTGCAGGAGGCCTGCTGGCCCATACTAGGCAGGTCCTTTACAATTCATCCCACTAACAAAACATTTGCCCAACCCAATTTTCAATGCCATCCAAGAAATAAGCTCTGATGTGAAAGTCCCACTCAAATCCAACCCCTCCCACTCATGTACTTATCCAACCTAGATTTGAAACTACCCAAAGTCCCAGCCTCAATAACCCAACTAGGTAGACTGTTCCACTCATCAACTACCCTATTTCCAAACCAATACTTTCCTATGTCCTTTCTAAATCTAAACTTATCTAATTTAAATCCATTACTGCGGGTTCTCTCTTGGAGAGACATCCTCAAGACCTTATTAATATCCCCTTTATTAATACCTATCTTCCACTTATACACTTCGATCAGGTCTCCCCTCATTCTTCGTCTAACAAGTGAATGTAACTTAAGAGTCTTCAATCTTTCTTCATAAGGAAGATTTCTAATGCTATGTATTAATTTGGTCATCCTACGCTAAATGTTTTCTAACGATTTATGTCCATTTTGTAATACGGAGACCGAACTGAGCTGCATATTAAGGTGGGGCCTTTATAATGATGCAAAGCTCAGTATGCCTCGGGGATTCTGTTGCTTACACTTTTGTTAAAAATTTCCAGAAATCTATTTCCCTTTATTACGTACGTTTGGGCATTGCTGTCTTGGTTTAAGGGTGTGCCCCCAAACCCCCAAGCCCCTTTTGCAATTGTATGGCTAAGCCCCTTCATTTAACTATAAGTACTATTTTTATGGGCACTCCCACTTCAAAACCCTTGCATTTTCTACTTTTGAACTGCATCGCCACTTTTT